GTTTCTTCACATTTTTTTAACATGTTTTTGCATATTCCTACAGCTTTTTCTGCAAGTCCATTAGATTTTGGATACCTCGGACTAGCAAAACTTAGTTCCATATTGATTTCTTTTGCAAATTTTTTAAACTCTAAACTATTATATGGATTATTATCTGATACAAATTTGGATGGAACTCCAAAGGTAGAGAAAATTTCTTTCAGTTTGGTAATGACTTCCTTAACAGTTTTGTTATTTAATTTTTTCAGTTCGATCCACTTGCTATAATAGTCAACTACCACTAAATATGAATTTCGATTAAATTCTAATATATCTGAGCCTACTTTTTCAAAAGGTAATTCTGGAGCTTCATGAGGGATTAGTGGCTCTTTAACGTTTGCCCTACTAAACTTTTTACAAACTCCACAGTTAGTTACAAAATTTTCTATGTCTGACGAAAGTCTAGGCCAATAGAAAAGTTTCCTACCCCGCCTTTTTGTTTTTTCTATCCCAAAATGAACCTTGTGCAGTTGTTGTAACATATATTTTCTTAAGGATTCTGGAACAACTAGTTTATTATTATAGAAAATAATACCATTTTTGGTTACTAACTCATTTTTAATTTTAAAATAATGTTTCAACTCTGCATTGTTAAATTGACTTTTGTGGTTTGGCCACCCACTTTCACAAAATTGCTTGACTATTTTTAATGTATGATCAGTTTCTGTTTTGTTTATAATCTCCTCTAACCTATCTCTTGAGATTGGTAATTCCATTTCAACACAATGAACTACTTCTAACATTTCAGGATCATCCATCGTATTCTTATTTATATAAAATCTAGACAATAGATCTGCAATAAACATTTGTTTTCCTGGTAAGTATTCTATTTTGAAATTATATTTTAGTGTTTTTAGTCTCATTCTTTGCAATCTAGATGTTATTTTATTTATATCTTTTTCCTGTATTGCAACTAAAGGTTTGTGATCTGAATTTACTGTTATTCGCTTTCCATAAATAAATTGATGAAATTTATTTAAACTATAACAAATGGCCAAATACTCTTTTTCTATTTGAGCATATCTTGTCTCAGTTTCGGTTAGACTTCTAGAACAGAATGCTACTGGTTTACCTCCCTGCAACAAAGCACCACCCATGCCATACTGGCTTGCATCTGTTTGTACTACTATGGGTTCCTTTGAATCAAATATTTTAAGTGTTGGAATATTAATAATGCTCAATTTTAATTTGTTAAATGTTTCTCTCTGTTCATTACCCCATATGAACTCAACATCATTTTTTATTAATTTTCTTAGAGGACCACAAAGTTCTGATAATTTGGGTACAAATTTACTCAAATAATTTACCATACCTAATATCTTTAATAAATCCTTCTTATTTGACGGCTCACTTAAACATGTGATCGCTTCAATATAATCAGGGTCTGGTTTTACACCTTCATGAGAAAACTCCTGCCCTAAATACTTGACTTTACTGACCTTATATTGTAATTTATCAGGATTAAATTTAATGTTGTACTGTTTTGCCCGTTCTATAAACTTGTTCATTAACTCATCATGTTCTTTTTCATCCCTACCAGCAATTATGCAGTCATCAAAATAAATTCCTATTCCAAGATTTTGAAAAATTTTTTCATTAATTTTTTGAAATACCTCAGGGCTTATTGATAATCCAAATGGTAACCTCAAAAATTTAAATTTACCAAATGGGCTAATGAACGTGCATAAATTACTGCTTTCCTTATCAATTGGTATTTGATAGAATCCATCTTTCATGTCTACTACACTGAAAACCCTTTTGTTTTTTAATTTTACTCCAATTTCGTCAATAGTGGGTATAGGATATTGTTCTAAACAAATATTTTTATTTAACTGTTGTGGATCCAAACAAATCCGCAACTTTCCATTTGGTTTTTCTATGATTACAATATTATTCACCCACTCAGACGGACCTTCTACTTTTTCTATGATACCTTTTTGTACCAGCTCCTCTAAAGTCGTTTTTAATTTTTCTTTTAGCGAGTCTGGCACCCTTCTACAAACGCTTACAAATGGCACATAATTATTTTTTAATTTAATTCTATGTTCCATGGGTATTTTACCTAAACCTTCAAACAAAGTTTTATTTTCATTTATAAATGCAAATTTTAACTTTTCTTTTGGGTCCCTTCCATTACTCCCATTTTCTTTTAACTGACTGACAGAATCAAGCCTTGCAACTAAATTTAGTTTTACACATGCATTTAATCCCAAAATTGGATCACTTTCTACATCTACCACAATAAATTTTAATTTATACTCTGTATTCCTTAACTTGCAATTCAAAATTACATATCCTTTTACTTTTATTCTATTATTACCATATGTTATTATTGTCTGATTTATTTCTTTTAACTCTTTTTGTTTTTGTACTTTCTCTAACCATTTTAAAGGCAACACATTGCACTGTGCGCCCGTGTCTAATTTGAAAGAAATTTTAATACCGTTAATTGTTACATTTTCCTTCCATAGCTTAATGCTACTTTCACACCCTATTTTATCTAAACTAATTAAATCAATATAACAATCGTCATCATCATCATCGTCCTCTACACCCGCTACTTCTAAATTATTGATTTTGTTTTTCTTACTACTAACATTCTTTCCATGCATAAACTTATTCTTATTCCAATTTTTAAATTTACACCCAATTGCAAAATGATTCAGTCCATTACAATTGTGACACGTTTGTCCATACGCAAAGCATTGTGCTATTTGATGATTTCTCCCACATTTACGACAATCATACGTATTACCTGGTGTTTTTGTTGTCTTGCCACCTGTTGCTGCGAGTTGATCTCTCTTTCCTTTTCTTATGATGTCTACCTTGGCATGCTCTTCTTTTAGGCCTTCAACTTGCCTTCTGGTAACTTCGGTGAGCCTGCAGTGCTGCTCCGCATCCTTCAAAGTTAGTTTTGTTTGCCGTAGTAACCTCTCCTGCAGCACTACATCAGTGATACCTAAAATCAATCTGTCCCGTATTAGTGAGTCCTCCTGATCTCCAAAATTACAGGGCTTCGCTAAAACTTTCAAGTCTTTTATGAAACTGTCGTATGTTTCTTCCGTATTCTTGTTCCTCGAGAAGAATTTAAACCTATCATACGTTTCATTATTTCTCGGTTTACAGTACTCTTGAAAAGCTTTAATTACTTCATCATACTTTGCCTTTTGTTCATTAGTGAGACCTAGCGTTGTGTATACTTCTTGTGCTTCTTCTCCCGCTACATTGAGAAATATCGCAATTTTTCTTTTTTCTTCGGCAGTACTTAAACCTGATGCTTCCATGTATATATCAAAAGCATTCTTAAACTTCTCAAAATTCTTGTTTAATTGTTGGTCAAACACCAAATTCGGAGGTGGCTTGAAAGACGATTCCATTTTCACGTGCTTAACCTTACTTTTCTTCTTATTAAATTTTCAGTACTTTACTACTTGTTATTATTAGATGCCTTCTTTCTTACTTTTTAATATTTCTTACGGTTTACACCTGACACCATGTTATATTCGGAGCTTAGGCTGCTGAAATTATAATAAAGGTAATTCTATTAAACATCTTTATTATTGATTGAACCGATGTCGTCTGTAGGTTGACGTCCGGTAGTGGCGCATGTACCTAACTTGTACATTATGTTACAGTAACGGCTGTCTTTTTAAATGGCAAAGCTCTTACCTGTAAGCATATCCACAAATAACAGTTACCTTACTTTGTAAAATGAGCAATGTCATTTTAGTTATTTGGTTTCGCGAAATAGTCTTGTTGAATATTATTCGGCACCAATTATTGTTGGCTAAATGTTCTTCTGGTTTAGTTCAAATGTAACGCTTTCTGACAACTTCACTCATGGCAATCATTTTAACAAATGTCATTTGCCAAAGTTGCCAAGCAACACACTTATATGTCAGTTTTAACTTCAAAATTTTCTCTGTTGTAATTTAACATTCGACAAAACATTTTCCGAATTACATATCTGTAATTCCAAAAGAGAAATAAAAAGTGTAAGAACTATGAGCGTTTCAGCAACAGAAAATGGCCGTACCTTGCTTGAAAAGCTATGAACTGCGAACACCAATTTGGACGTGATATTTCACTTTTCGAATTTTTGTAGGTACATTTCTCTGAAAGATCGACGTGATGAATGTCAGTATTTCGCCGACCATTTTACGTCTCCTTGGAAAATAAAGTGGTAACCATAGACAAACTTTGTTAGTTGCATAGGAAATTTGTGAAACTACGTAGTCGTCTGGGCGTTACTAACGTATCAAACAAGATTGTTTTGTGAACTTCAAAATTTTAGTTTGACTTTTCCGCGAGTTTTATTTCGAAATTATGGCATGCAAACGTAGATGTAGAAAGAGGGGCACCAATATAATCTGTAAAAGACGAAAAAACTCCCGCTTTTCAAAAAATCCTTTTTTAAATTTTTTAAAAGAGCTGCGTCAGAAATACCCTACGTGGCTATCTTGTAAGTTAACATTGGAGGGCGCTCGGAGATGGTGTAATATGAGTGCCTGTCAAAGAAGAAAGTACCAGTGCAGAGCTATACAAGCCGGAAGGGCTGCTAAACCTTTTCGAACTAGGTGCAAGACTGGCAGAAGAAAGCTCAGATGTAAGTTACAGAAGAGACGACGCAAATGCAAACGGAAAATAAAGAGGCGTACTTGCAAACGAAGAAAAAGAAGGGTTGGCGTATACACTCTCACAATCGGTCGTATTCGCAAGAAGCTTCTGAAGCTAATACGCGTATTGTGTCGTAGTCGAGTGGTTTCTCGGTATTCATTATTGAATTAGAAATTGATACACAACACAATACTTTATTTACACAAAATGTATTAATATAATATATCGAATAAAATCATACTCAACTCTATACCACCAGCCACACACCATCCTGACTGTTTTACAAGCATGCGCAATAGCTGCGCACACAGTGGCGTAGATACTTTACAATAGTCTCCCCTACTTTATTGAAGAACATAATCAGTTAATTTTGCTGGTGGTCTAATGTCTCTCTTTGATCGCCGTAGTTCTGGAACCGAAACTTGTACATCTGGAACTGGTGTATCCAACACTGGAACGTCTTGCCTTGTAGCATCCAGCATCGTTTGGTAGTGTGAATGTTCATCTTGTGGGAAGTGAAGGCCCTTTGATGTATCTTCTTCGTCTTGTTTCTGACAACGGGGCTCTGGTGGATCTTGAAATTTAACAGATTTCAGTCCACTTTTTTGTAGCTGATCAATATGACGTTTAAATTTATACCCATCGTCTAATTCGACTAAATAGTGCAATTTCCCGAATTTCTTGAGCACTGTACCCGGTTTCCATATGATTTTGTTATTTGCGAAGCATTTTGCAATCACTCTCTCCTTCTCCTGAAGTGAACGCACAGGTGGAGTCGCTGAACTGGAGGAACCCTCGAAATATGGTCGAATCGCATCCAATCGAATTCGAACCCTTCTATGAAGATAGTTTTCTGCTGGTGATTTCCCATCTATAAGTGGGGTTGCCCTATAACGCAGCAAAATGGTTTGTAGTTTTACAGAAATAGATGATTTTTCATTTCTCATTGATTCAAGACGTCTTTTTAGCGTTTGCACATTTCGTTCTGCTAACCCGTTTGTTGCGGGGTGCCCTGGAGCTATAAATTTTTGTCTTATCCCGTGATCACGACAATAATGGCTGAACTGCTTGCTGGTAAAAATGGTTGCATTATCAGAGACGATTTGTTTGGGATATCCATGTGTTGAGAATATACCATTTAATAGCTCAATTGAATTTAAACTATTAGGACTGTCATTTAAAACACGTACTTCTGCCCATTTGGATTTCGCATCTACTACTACCAAGAAGTGTTGATTGCCTATGGGACCCGCATAGTCTATATGTATTCTATCCCAATTTTCGTTAGGCATCTCCCAATGGTGTAGCGGTACTTTCGATGCACTATGTTTGATTTTGATGCACTCGGGGCAGGCTTTGACGAAACTTTCAATGTCTTTATCGATTCCTTTCCAGAAACAATATCTTCTACTCAGTTGTTTCATTTTTGTAACACCTAAATGTGTCACATGTAGTTCTTGAAGTATTTCATTTTGCATTGATTTGGGAATTACAACACGTTGATCTCGAAATAGTATTCCATGGTCGATTGTGAATGAAGAGTCTTTAGAAGTCGAACTTAATTCTTCGATGATCTCTTGTAGTTCTCGATCTTTGCAGGTTTCTTCTCTAATACGGTCAGAATTTATGGTGTCAGTTGAAATATCAAAAATTGTCATTTCATATACCTCGTGCATTTCTTCGTTTTGCAATGCGTCGAATGACATTGAATTTTTTGATTTAATGGGTGCCCTTGAAAGGCAATCTGCGTTTTGGTTTTCAACGCCCCGTTTAACTTGAATATTAAAATCAAAACTGGATAAATATGAGGCATATCGAATAAGCCTTGCTGATGTTGTTTTTGAAGTTTTCGCTTTTGGATGAAAAATACGAGCTAACGGTTGGTTATCCGTAATTAGAGTGAAATTTCTTCCGATTAAATATTGTTGAAAATGGCTTACCCCGAATATTATGGCAAGCGCTTCTCGATCTAGTTGCGAATAGTTTTGTTCCGCTTGTGTCAATGAACGCGACGCAAATGCAATTGGCTTTTCCAAATCATCGTTTTCTACATGTGATAGTACTGCAGCGATACCATAGGGGCTAGCGTCTGTTGATAGAATTACTGGACATGTTGGCTCGAATGGAACGACAACGCGGTCACTGGTAATTTCACCTTTTAGTTTTATAAAGGCAGATTCACATTGTGAGGACCAATAGAAATTCGCATTCTTTGTTAGGAGCTTTCGAAGCGGTGCTGTCATAGTGGATAAATCTGGGAGTAGTCTGGAGTAGTACGTAATCATGCCTAGAAATGTTCTAACGTCGGCTACATTTTTGGGCCTTGGCATGTTCTTAATGGCATCAATTTTTTTTGGATCTTTTGAAATTTGGTTAAATCGAACTACATACCCCAAATAGTCAACTTCGTCCTTGAAAAACGAGCATTTGTTCTCATTCAGGTGTAAATCATTCTCTTGAAGTCTTTGGAGACATTGAAACAAATTTTCGGCGCATTCTTCATATGTTGATCCGTGCACTAGGATATCATCGAAATATGATATGGTTTTCGGAAGGCCTTGCAATATTTGGTCGATTATCCTGTTGAACTCTGCCGGAGCCGTTTTTATGCCAAAACTTAAACGATTCATTTTGAATGTTCCCCGGTGTGTCGAAATTGTCTGGATTGAACTACTTGCATCGTCTACCTTTAAGTGTAGGTAGGCTTTGAACAAATCTAATCTACAGAAAAATTTTGAGTTCCGTAGACTATTTAAAACAGTGTCAATGCGTTTTATTGGATAGTTCACATTGACTAAACAGTCATTCACAGCGATTTTATAGTCAACGCACAGTCTGACTTTCCCATCCGGTTTAGGAACAACAACTAGAGGTGAACCCCAGTCGCTTTTAGGACATTTTGAAATTATGCCTTGTTCTTCGAGTAAATTTAACTCGTGTTCGACTTTTTCTTGAAGAGCATACGGTAAGTTTCTTTCCGGAACGTAAACTGGTTTTGAATTTTCTCGAAGTGTTAATGAAATTGTTACATTTGGAATTAACCCGATCCTTTGTTCAAAAATTTTAGAAAACTGTGTACGAATATCATTAACATTTGTAATCTTGTTAATAGGACACGAATTATTATGGAAACTGTCGGCATCTACTTCTTCCAAGTTGATTTTTAGATGGCGAATCCAAACTCTGCCTAAAAGTGGATCTAAGTGATTTGGAACAACATACATGTCTTCAGTTGATCTGGAATTACGATATTGAACGTTTACAGTAATTTTCCCATAAGGGCGAAAAATTTGATGAGTGTAGGCACGAAATAGAACATTTGCTTGGTCAAGTTTACAGTTTATACCTAGCTTATCGAATAAATACTTTGGTATTAAGGTAAATCCCGCACCCGAATCTACCTCAAAAGTTAAATTGTGTCCTTCTACCGAAACACTAATAAAATACTTTCGCGCATCACGATCAGGCTCACATTTATTATCGAAAACGTCAATAACTTGATTAGAATCATAACTACTTGCTACCTGGTTAATACTGTTTGTATTTACAGACTTAAAACTGTTTTTATTTCGAAGGAGTGTAGTCACACAAACTTTTGCGACATGTCCGGATTTATTACAATGTTTACACTTTAAATTGTCACGATTTGCATAGCATTCATTTGCACGATGATTATCACGCCCACATCGGAAACATAGATTGTCAATACCCAGCTCACGATAGTCGATATTTGTTTGTCTATTGAAATTATCACGATTTGTCCCTTGATTTTGATTAGAACTGGCACTGCGATTTCGAAAACTTGATTTACTTCTTGAACGGTTCTGCATTGAATTTGATTTTCCCCTGGAATGTCTTTGAGTTGAAACTTTGTCGATTTGTGTTGAATGAATGGAACTTGTGCTTGCATCGGCTTTGGTAATCGTTTTGCTGTCGGCACGTGCTGCCTCCAGTGCAATAGCTTTTTGAACAATTTGGTTGAAATCTATAAGGTCTGATTGAAGAATCTGCTCCGTTATCCAGCTATCTTTAAGTCCACGAATAAACTGAGCGCGTAGAAACACATCGGCAATAGAAACATCTACTTCACACGTACATTTGTATCGAAATTTACATGCGCTTAAGTTTTGTTGAAGTGTAGCTACATATTCGGTAATCGATTGCTTATTAGACTGCACTTCGGATAGAAACAAATGTTGGGCAACTAACATATTGCGTTCTGGTGACAGGTGTTTCCCCAAAATTGAGATTAATTTGTCATATTCGATGTCTGTCGGTTTTTGTGGAGCGACTAAAGCGGCTAACGTATTGTAATTTGAACTCCCAATTGATGTAACGAGCATTTGTGCTGCTTTTTTCTTGTCGGCGTACAGTTCCTTCATTTTTAAGTAATTTTCGAACCTTTCT